ACACTGTCTTATTTTCGGGGAAACGGTACATTATTTACCCTGGTTCTTTATAGAAAAACTTAGCCAACTCCTTGTTTAAATTAAAACATGATAGGAAAACAGGTTAAATTGATTATGTGAATGGCAGTTTCGTTAAGGAAAGAAGGGAGACAGAGAGGGAGAGAGAGAGAGAGAAACATTGAGGGGGATGTGTGCCCTTGACTGGGAATCGAACCTGTGACCAACATTCTAACCAGGGTCTGCTAACTTTTGGTGCATAGGATGATGCTCCAACCAATTGAGTCACACCAGCCAGGGCCTCCCCCAACAATATTATTTAAAAAATATTACAGCTTAAGAATTTAGATGGAAGTAATTAAGTTAAAATCTTAGTAAGGAATTTATTTAAGATAATCAGTCAAACAGTTATAGAATATTTTTTAAAAATATATATTTTATTGATTTTCTTACAGAGAGGAAGGGAGAGAGAGAGAGAGCGAGAAACATCAACCAGCTGCCTCCTGTATACCCCCACCGGGGATGTGCCCACAACCAATGTACATGCCCCTGACCGGAATTGAACCTGGGACCCTTCAGTCTGCAGACCGATGCTCTACCACTGAGCCAAACCGGCCTCGGCCAGTTATAGAATATTTTAATATACATTCTGATTCATCCATAGAAGGGACTATATGCAGTCAGGAAAATTTATGCTACAGATGTATATTATTTTTGTGGACAAACATAATAAAGTAAAAAGCAGCTTACATGATAAAAAAAGATAACCATTACAATTAATATATCTGATTAAGAGTTTACTCTCTTGACCAACATTTGACAGTTAGGAGAGAACACTGATTTTCTGTGCCAACAGAAAAATAAGAGGTGTCCTTGGTGGGTGGGAGAAGCCAAAAACCATTTCTAGTATTTGAGTGAAACCGACGGTAAACTTTTTATTAGTTATTTCTATAAAAAAGAGAGGCTTTGAATTATTAACAGAAAAATTTATGCATCAGAAGTTAGATCAGAAGTGGAGTTTGGCCAGTATTTTTAAATCACCCACTCAATGCCAGGTACCTTGCTCAATGCGAGGAGGTTTGGATTGAGAGAATAGTCCTGGGTGTGCTTAGCACCATCATTGTCTGGCTGCTCTGTGGCTGATCACAAAAAAAGTGCTCTAGAATCTTTTGGAAGCATTCAAATGCTTGTTGAGCAAATTTTGCCTCTAGAAGAAAACTAGGCAAATGAGAAAATGTCCAATAATGGGTAAAACAAATATTGTAAAGAACTGTGTAATCTCTTAATTATACCTTTAAAATTTTTAGTTACCAATAGGAAATGTTTTGTTGGGTATATATTTAAAAAACATGGCTGACAGAAAGATATTATAGTATTGTAATATGTGAGTGACTAACCAAATAATTTATAGTTTAAAATTTCACTCTCAGTGGATTGATGTGCTCTTTGATGTTAGTCTCTCCGGTGCATTTGGAAAATCCTTGAAATAGGAAGTCAAAAGATTCTCTACATTTTGCGCCTCTGCTGAAGAGCTTCCTGATAAGGGGGAAATATAGTTTGGCATTTGAAACTAATTTTCGGAGACCAGCAGACCGAGCATCAAATTCTGATTAAAAGCCACAACTGAGCTGGACATCACATTGAGCTTCATGGGCAGCTCGGCATCTCACTTCTGAGTTTTATTAAGGTCATGTCAGTCACTGGCGACAAGGGTTTGGAACAGAGCCCTTTTCTAGCGTCTGTTGTGCAACTGAACTCCCTTGGAGGAGTGTTTTGGTGAAGAGAGGAAAAGGAAGTAGACTACAACTGGAAAGATGAGCTGAAGGAGAAGTTCGTAGGCCGAATTGTGAGGGCCTTCTAGTGTGGGGTACCAGATGACTCAGCGTTTTCTGTTCTGGTTTTAATCTCACCAAAGAGCAGACCTCTGAGGGCTATCAGAGCACATCACCAGGTTCCTGCCATGGCCTGAGAGAAGGTGTGCTGAGGTGGCTATGTAATGTTTACATGGGGCTAGAGGGATGGGATATGGGGATGCAAGAGGAGGAAATGGTCCCTTGTGCTCAGAGGAATCTGGGAGGTTATCATGTTAGCTCATTCTTGAGTAGAGCCAGTCACCTGAAGTCAGTATTGCCTTTGGGAACATATATAATTGAAGAACACTTATTATACAAAGAAGTTTTATTTGCAAAAGAGAACAGTATTTCTCTTGCATGATACTTGTATTTTATTGGACATAAGACTATGCCCCATTCCTTTAGATATACTTAATGCAACCTATTTTTAATCCTAGAAGGTCTTCCTTTAATTGTATATGAAAATAATTCTTTATGGATGGTCAGTATTTGCCCAAACTGCATTTTTTTTTTTTTTTTTTTTTTTTTTTTAATATTCTAGTGCTTAGAACTGATATAGTTTTAACAGTTGACAGATAGAACAGCCCTTTTCTCTGGTGATACATTCTTTAGGGAGGGTGGTCTGTGTATTATCCAGAGTGTAGGTTTGTCTCCATGGTTATTTCTGAGTTTGTACCTGTCTTAGGAACCTCAGGAGTGGAGAGGGGCTCCAGTCCACTGTGCATTTGTTGTTTCTAAGTAATAGCTCTGGAACCTTCTGGTGAGGGAGGAGTCAGCTCAAATCAGGGAGACAACATTTATCCAGCTGGTTTCTTTACCTCAATCCCTTACTTCCTCCTCTGGCTGACTTAATTGAGAGTATTATCCATCCCAGAAACTGTCTTTTTAAAAAGTGCTCTTGATATTACTAACACTGTAATACAAAAATAATCAGTGAAGTAAACAGGTAAATGGAATGATCTGGACAAAGTCCCCAGTGACTCAGATGGGTGGAGGAGGGATGTATGACTCTCTTCCTCTAACAAGGACAATGAATGTTAGACTTCCCTGACATTCCATCTATATATTGCCCTATCTCATATTGATCTTTAACATTTAATGTCAATGAAAGGTTATATTTTAAGATCCAAGTTAACTGTTGGAAAGTTACTGCTAAGCTAATGGTCGACTGCCACAGGTTTCTTGACTTACATTGTGCCAGAATATGTTCCTAATAAGTAATGTTTCAGTTATTGCTTCTTCTGTGCCCTGTAAGAATGCCACCTTTAATAGAATTTAGAAATACTTGGTTGATAGGGAACAGCTAGAACAGTTAATTTGGAACTCTGATTTCTTATAAACCTGTTCAATTCTTGTCTAGCCTCTTACCTAGTCATTAAAGAAAACTAAAGTGGCCATGAAAAGAGAAAGCCTTCCTTCCCACATTGCTTTTAGTAAATAAATAAAGAAATTAAGGGCCTTAGCTGATTTGGCTCAATGGATAGAGCGTTGGCCTGTAGACTGAAATGTTCCAGGTTCGATTCCAGTCAAAGGCATATACCTTGGTTGTGGGCACATCTCTAGTAGGAGGTGTGCAGGAGGCAGCTGATCAATGTTTCTCTCCTATCGATGTTTCTGACTCTCTCCCCCTTCCTCTCTGTAAAAAATCAATAAAATATATTAAAAAAATAAATTAGGAATGAAGGTGTTAACACTTCTAGAAAATGCTTAAAGTCTAGGAGGTGGTTTTATTAAATCTTCCAAAGATCTTTGTGTCAAGAAACTATGAAAACAGAAAAACATCTTTTGTTCACCAGACTAAGTCTTCATAATCCACCCTTTTGAATCCAGTTGAACGACATTCTGAAGGTTATTAAATTGAGACTTTTGTCTTTTTTATTTTTAGCACACTCAAGTGTGTATATAAATCTCTGGAATGTTGAACGAGTGACATTCCACAAGTGTCAGATTTTTTTTTTTTTTCTGTCGTTCATTGTGGAGAGGAGACCAGTGAATTAATAATGTTTGATTCTTTCTCTTTTCTTTGCTTTCCTAGTGGAGCTCAGTTACAGAATAAATAATTTTTATTTATTTTTTGTGGGTAGAAAGTCAGTGTTTTAAGTTACTGCTTTATGGCAGTAATTAATGATTAATTTACCATGCTAGAACGAATAGAAAAGCATTATTTTAGAATTAAATTTCTCTGTGGCCTGGCACTGTACTAGTGAACCACGAAAAAATAGAATTCACAGTAATCTAGATTTAGAACCAAAAAGTATACTCCAAGTATCAAAGCTGTGTTCTATTTTGGTATTCTAGAGTGTGGCGACATATAATTGTCATAGCAACTTAAATTTGTTCAATGTTAGATTTTGAGGTAACTTTCAGGCTATTTTGGGAAGTTCTGGTACATTTAATTTAATTTTTCATTCAGTCATTTTGCCATGGTAACAAAGCAATCAATCATGGACTTAAATGAAATACCCATAAGAACTAGTTGGCTATGAGGATGAGTTCCCACTGCACCCTTTAAATATGGCGAAATAGTATATAGCCTTGAAACTAACTTTTAAAATAGGGATCTGTTTACATTCAGACATTCAAATGTCTACACAAAAATATAGCTATATATGTATATTATATATTGAACTCTAAGAAGAACCTATGAATATTATTATTTATAGCTGCATTAATTCATTTTTTATTCTTCATATAAAAGGGAAAATTGGAATAAATAGTACTGTCAATCTTCACATAAAATAAAAAAAAGGATTGGTTTGAGAAAAGAATCAATGAAAATGATTAATAGAAAAAGTATTCTAAGGACCAAGTGAATAAAATTATAATGAAGAGATTCTTAAACTGGCAGTTTGCAATAATGAGATATTATCTTTCTTTAATAGATGGGGAGCTCACTATTTTAAAAACTTAGCTTTGGATAGAGAAGTATGTCTCTGGTCTAAGAGGACCACTCACCATTGTTTGCAGCACTGTTCTGACTCTTTCTGGAATTGTTTTCTCAGGTGTTTGCTTTCTGCGGGACCCTCAGCTCCGAAAAACATATTGGGGATGGAATAGTGACATACACAATTTTTGAGAATGTTAAAAAGAACATTAAATTGATATTGGCACTCTTGTAATTGTATATCTTGTTTCTTTATTCACTTTCAGTTTGATTAATAAGCTTAAACCTGGTGTCATAAAGAAGATCAATAGACTGTCCACACCAATAGCAGGTTTGGTAAGTAATAAATTGTCTACAAAATTAGATTTCTTTGTTTTTTGAAATGTGAAAATATAGACTTAGGTTCTCTTATCTGGAATTATTATAGAAATTAGGTTTGGGATTTTTTTTTTTACTCAAAAAAAGCATATTTTGTGATGTTCTCCTTACACCTTTAGTACGTCTCTGTTTCCCTTCAGTTGGAAAATTTTATTTTATTTATTTTTTGTTTGTTTTGATTTTTGTGCCCTCAGAACTCATATCTCCTTTCTTGGTTTATTTCTTCTACAAATTGCATTTGTTTGTGATCACATTCCTTTGAAGCTTAGCTTGCAGACATTGTTTGCTAGTTGACCACAGTTTAGGGAAACTGTCCAGTGTTTACCCTTTGTTCCATTTTTTGGTACTTCCTGCTTATGCATTACCCTCACCCAGCACACAGGTCTTGGAGTTTATTTGTAAAATGCTCGAGACCTCCTGGCTCATTTACTTTATGTAATAGGTTTCCTTCCAACATCATGTGTGATGTTGGACATGTCTTTTTTTTTCTTTTCTCAGAAATATTATCCATAAAATGACTATGGATGATTCTCTAGTTTTTTAGCTTTAAATTTAGCATTTTGCATATGAGAAATACTCCACACTATCATTTTATAAATATTTTGGTGGGTCAAGACACTGAAGAGACCAATAATAAGGTGGGGCCATGTCTTTGAAAATAAATAATTTATAATTAAAATGCAAATGATGGATAATATTGAAAATGTTAGCAATACCTAAAAATCAAGGTTGATGATAGAATTCTGTTAAAAAATTTAATTTCACAAAACACTAAGTTTAAGAGCTAACAATTAGAATGTAAAGGAAAAAAAATATTCTCTTTGGAATAGATAAGTTGTGCTTATAATATTCTCAGAAACCTTCTTTTTGGCTGTGATGTGTATGCAGATGTTAAAGGCATGAAAAATTAAACTTACCAGTACCAAAATGTTTGGGTTTTCAGTTGTCATAAAAATGAAGTCAGGGAGTTGAGGAGGTGGTAAAGCAGAAAAGGGGTCAAATATATGGTGTTGGAAGAAGATTTGGCTTTGGATGGTGGACACACAATGCAATATACAGATTAGGTATCATAGACTTATATACTTGAAACCTGTATGATTTTATTAACCAATTTCACCCCAATAAGTTTAATTTAAAAAATAGCTAAAAGAAAATATCATCATAATTTTGACAGAAATGAATTATTCAGAGTCTTTTTACTAGAAAATATCTATCTAGCAACATATAAATGTATTGCAATATATGAATATATATATATATGAATTCTAATAATAGGGTGCATTGCAAGGTATTAAGGAATAAATTAAATAAATTTGGTTTTTGAAATCTTTCTAAGAAGACTATTTTGTTTAGTCCTTACCGGTTTGGTTCAGTGGATAGAGTGTCAGCCTGCAGACTGAAAGGTCCCAGTCAAGGGCATGTATCTTCGTTTCGGGCACATCCCCAGTAGTGGGTGTGCAGGAGGCAGCTGATTGATGTTTCTCTCTCATTGATGTTTCTAACTCTCTATCTCCCTCCTTTCCTCTCTGTAAAAAAAAAAAATCAATTAAAAATCTATTTAAAAAAGAATATTCAGTTTAATAAACTAAATAGATTTTATATTAAAATAACTTTTGTAAAAATTAAAAGCTCAGATTGTATTGTAAGTATTCTCTGTCTTCTCCAATGGTTTGAGCTATTCTTAGTTTAACACTTAGACTTTAAATCGTCATTTATTGGATTAATTACATGCATTTTAAATGAAATTAGCTTTTGATCTCAAACACCCTGCATATTTGGAATGCTTGAATTGTGGTGGTTAGTTGTTGGTCCCCAGAGGTTTTATTCAATCTCCTGATTCTGTGATGAGATGAAATCACAAATGTAATTTTAAATCCAAAGATCTCTCCAAATACTTCTATTTTAAGCATCAGAAATTCTATCTGGTTTGGATTTTATCTCTAGAAACTAAAATGAAATGAATTTCCAGCATATTAAATTGGATGATTTCCCAAATACAGGACAATGAGCATTTTCAATGGAATGTAGGAGTAGAAGTGTGACCATAGCCTCTGAAGTGGGCTAAGCTCAATTGATTTGAAGTTGTTATCATGCCTCATTTGATTCCTTCCTCTGATGCTTGTGTGGAATACTGGCAAACCCCAAAGCCTTAATTTCAAGTGTGAACTAGTATCTATCTGGTAGGGTTGTTATGAGGATGGAAGTGGATGATATATAGATGGTCTGACACACAGACATTCAACGAATGTTCTTTGGTAGCACGTTCATTCTTTTAATAAATAATGGAGTGCCTATTGGGGCAAGCATTTTTCTAGTTTATAGGGATGTATTGGAGGAACAAAGACAGATAATGACATTGGAGGAATAAAGACAGGAAGTTGACATTGATACAGCCAAAGGCATTAATCAAAATTCACCAGTTTTACATGCAGTTAATGCTTTTTTAAGTGCTGCTCTCAAGCTAAGTGAGATGGAGAGTGTTTTATTGTAAGGATTTTGGGAGCATTCTCCTGTTTCTCCAGTGCTCAGCCTTAACATATGATTACTTTTTTCCTGTTGGGAATGGTGTCTCCTAATTGAGATTCCCAAGAGAGAAATCTGAATAGATCAGGTTACTTTTTCCTTCCAGGCTACTGATATCATGGCCAGCCTGTGCATGAGCAGTTCCTTGGGAAGAAAGTCATCTTAGCCAAATGGTCTGTGATCAGGAATGTGGGTTCCCTTTGGCCCACTTAGTTCATGTGTGTGGATTGACACGAGTTCTGTGAATGAGGCTTGTGTAGGGTAGATACAGCAAGTTACGTAAAATACAGTAAGAATTATACAATTTCTGTGTTAAATTTGTTAACCTGAGTGATTGTAGTATTCCAAACCCTCTCTTCCATTTCTCTTTTCTTATTTTCTTTCCTGTAGCTATAGTTCCATTTTATGTCAGTTACCATGTATATTTGGCTTGGCAGCCATGGCAATGGATTTATCATGGGCCTGTGTGAAAAACATAAGCAATGACAATACAGGAAGGGATGTTTAGATAATTTAGAAATATATTGACTGCTTTGCTTGAAGCATTCATGATTATTATTATTTTTTTTGGGGGGGGAGGCGGAAGACAGTAACCATGTTACCAAAGAGATGTGGTTTTTCTTACTTAACTGAGTTTTATATTATAAATACACTGGAGCCCCTCAGCCTGGCCTGCACCCTCTTGCAATAAGGGACCCCTCGGGTGATATCAGACTGCCAGTTTCAGCCCAATCCTCCCAGCGAATATGTGCACTGGGCCTCTAGTATGCATATAAGATCCTTGGTTAATCTCTTCCCACCATCTCCCCTCCCCACTTCCCTCTGAGATTCATCAGTCTGTTCTATATTTCCATGCCAGTGCATTGAGTGTCTGTCCCCTGGTGGTCAGTGCACGTCATAGATATTCTCTTATCTTTTCTGTCCTTCCTATTTTTTACAAAGTCATACTAGAAAAAAAAAATCAATCTTACTCAGGAGTTTGAGTCTTCCAAAAAAGTAGCTGGTGTTAATGGTGGGTATTTTAAATAATTGAAACTCAAAATGATAAGTTTTTTTGGAATAAAAAGGATCAAGCTCAATACAAAACCATGAGAAGCAGGCAAGATAATTGCTTTGTTTTTTAAAATTTTTTCAATTACACTTTACATTAGTATTTTTTTGTGCAAGCAAGATATTCTGATGGTGAAAACTGTTGAACTAGAATAATGTTTGCCATCTGATGTGTTAGTGTGCATGAAATACAATATGTGTAGAAAACATCACATGTGTTATTAACCCTAAGACTTATAGTCATCTTGGGCCTGCAATGACTTATTTTATATTTAGCTAAAGCAAGGTTTCTCAGCTGTGGTCCTAATGACTTCTGACGTTTTGGGCCAGATAATTCTTTGTCTGCCTTGTGCATTATTGAATGTTTAGCAGCATCTTGGGCCTCAACTCACTAGATAACAGTAGCATCATGCTCCCAACCCCCATTTGTGACAGCCGAAAATATCTCCTGACAGTGCCAATGAGCCTATAGGGTAAAATCATCCCTGGGAACCAAGATGGCGGCATAGGGCAGACACCCAAATGCAGCCTACCACAACAAGTTTGAATTTAGAACTGAAAAACAGGGGAAACATCACCCTGAAGCACCGGACGGCTGGCTGAAGGGAGGCTCTACCATCTGGGAAGGAGAGAGAAGACACGCTGAACCTCAGAAACTGTGAAGGTATGGAAAACTGGGCGAGCAAAAAAGCGGCTGCAGAGTTCGCTGACTGCTGGCTTGTGGAGCGCGGAGAGGGCGGGCCGAGTTTGCTACCGGCTTACTCCCTGCGCAGAGAGGGCGGAAGCATTAGCGGCTGGCTTTCTTGTTCGGGAGGAAAACAGAACCACACTATTGCACTGACAGACTGTCCCAGACAGGGAGAGGCCAGACTGTCGGGCAGTGGGCTGGGATCTCTCAGAGGTGTGTGAAGCCAGCGGCCATTACTGCGGGACTTAGAAACCAGACCCTCGTAGGGAGGGGCTGAATAAAGCTTGTCTGCACCACCCGAGACTACACCCCATCCAAGCGGAGCACAGAAGCCCTTCCAGTGGCTAGCTTCCTCGTTCGCTGCCAATAGGACTCTCCTAGGGAGGGGCAGACAGGAATCTAAAGCTTGTCTGCGCCTATACCAAAGAGGTGCGCGTGCCTGCAACCAATTGTGCGGGATTCAACAAAGCTTGTCTGTGCCACCCTGAGACTCCACCCATCCAAGCAGAATACAGAAACCCTCCTAGCTGAGACACTTCTGATCCTCATAGCCAATTGGCTTGGAGATCAACGCTTCCCAGTGATACCAACAACAAGCAAGGCTTAACAACAAGACTGCACACACATCCCACAAAGGGCTACACCAAGACTGTCCTCCTCAGGTAACTGGGAGACTGACTCACTGAACCATATAGGACACCTTAGCACCCAAAGCCACCCTACCAACTCAGGAAAACTGTGAAAATGCCAAGACAAGGAATTAGATCACAAACAAAAGAAATGGAGGAAAAGAAGAGACTGGATATAGAGTTCAAAACCACACTTATAAGGCTTTTTAAGAATTTCCTAGAAAAGGTCAGTAAGACCTATGAGGAGATGAAAAGGTATCAACAAGAACTAATAAGGGATCAACAAGAACTAATAAGGGATCAACAAGAAATAAAGAATACATTGTCTGAAATAAAAAATATTATACAGAGTCCTAAAAACAAAATGGAAGATCGAAAGAATCAAGTTAAAGATTTGGAATTTAAAGAGCCAGAAGACACTCCTCCACAGAAGCAAGAAGAAAAGAGAATCCAGAAAATTGAAGATGATTTAAAAAACCTCTGGGACAACTTCAAGCGAACCAACATCAGAATTATGGGGATCCCAGAAGATGAGAGAGAGCAAGATATCGAAAACATACTGAAAGAAATAGTGACAGAAAACTTCCCCCACCTGGTGAAAGATTTAGACTTATTATACAAGTCCAGGAAGTGCACAGAACTCCAAACAAAAGAATCCAAAGAAGACCACACCAAGACACATCATAATTAAAATTCCAAGAGCAAAAGACAAAGAGAGAATATTAAAAGCAGCAAGAGCAAAGAAGGTAGTTACCTATAAAGGAGCATCCATACAATTGTCAGCTGATTTCTCAACAGAAACCATGCAGGCCAGACGAGAATGGCAAGAAATATTCAAAGTGATGAATAGTAAGAACCTATAGCCAAAAATAATCTACCCAGCAAAGCTATCACTCAGAATCGAAGGCCAGATAAAGAGCTTCACTAATGAAAAAAAGCTAAAGGAGTTCATCACCGCCAAACCAGAATTATATGAATTGCTGAAGGGGGTTCTTTCAGAAGAGAAAGTAAATAAAGGTAAAAACTATGAACAACAAATATGTAACTATCAACAAGTGAATCTAAAAACCAAGGGAATTAAAAAAAAATCTTATGAACAATATTAACTGGTGAATATAATAGAATCAGAGGTATAGAAGGGGAGTGGACTGACTATTCTTGGGCAAAGGGGGAGAGGGGGATGTAGGAAGAGACTGAACATAAATTGCACCTATGGATGAGGACAATGGGGGGTGGGGAAAGGGCAGAGGGTGGGGTGGGAACCTGGTGGAGGGGGAAAAATGAGGAACTTTTGTAATAATATGAACAATAAAGATTTATAAAAAAAATAAAAAAAATAAAAAATAAAATCATCCCTGGTTGAGAACCACTGAGCTAAAGGATCAAGAAAGTAAACACTCAATGTTAAAATATGTACACAGATAATAATTTAATAGAAAAATGTAAAAAAAAAAAAAAAGAAAGTAAACACTGCCCCTTTACATGGACTAGTTTGCTGAATGACTATAGATTTCATTGATCTACTCATGCTTGTCATTCCCTTTGAAAGCAATGGTATTTCAGAAAACTTGTTTTGAGCCATTCATTTGTGTGAGTGTTTGTGTCCTATCAGTGGGCTCAATAGGAAAATCTTCAGTATACCCACACTTGTATCAGAAATATGGGCTGATTTTGAACATCGATGCCCTAAAGTAAGGGTGTCGAACTCAATCAGAGAAGGGGCCAAAATCTAAAATCCAGCCTAAATCGTGGGCCGAATGGTTTACTGAACAGTCATAAACTGTCATTGTGATGGAAACGCAGCGGAGTGCAGTGATGACAGCGCAGTACGGGCCACATTGCAAGGCCTGGCGGGACGGATTTGGCCCGAGGGCCTTGTGTTTGACACATGTGCCCTAGAGGGTTCCTCTTTCAGGTTACTGTGGAGAGTGGAATGTGTAAGGTGTGGCTGTAGAGGCTGGGCAGGTTGTCTTCTCATTCAGGAATGCAGGGAATGCATTGTCAGTTTACTTCACCTTCCTGGTGACTACTTCAAGAAATAAGGCAGGTTTATGGGTCCATTCTGACTGCCCTTTCTCACAAAGTTATTGGTGGTTAACGTTCTTGTACTGTGCTGGGTGTCAGCAGAGTAATGCAAGCTAGTCTGTGATAAGGTCACTCTTGAAACTTCTAGTGTTTCCCTTGCAGCAGTGATAGAAAATTCATCTGAGGAACCACCTGAAGAATCTGCTCAATATTCTTATCAATATTTTATAATGTGCTTTTTAAAAAAAACATTTTCAGGCAGGGATTCTATTTGTCCCATTCCTTTCCTCAGGGGTAGAGGAGGCGAGGGGGTGAGAAGAGGAGAGGTTTGTGGGATACTGAGCTTGTGAGCTCTTTCTATAAATAAAATCAAATAAACACAAATAAGAAAATAAAATATGAGACCTCAAGACAGAGTTTTTAGGGGGGAAAGAAAGCCCATTTATGTTTCCTCTTCTTTCTTTTCCAAGTTGAAATAATATAAGAAGTACAAATATAATTACTATTTTCATTCAAGGATAGCACTTTTCTGAGTAGGAGGCAGAAATAGATTCTATATGATTGAAGAGAAAATACTCAATGAATAAGAATGGAATGTAAAATTGGATGAGTGGTCCATATATACCTTGCTTTCAACTGTGGTGATTAAGTTATTTTCTGCTGGGTCAAACCCAGTGTGTGTCAGAGGGAATATAGTTGATAATAAGCAAGATACTTTTGTGAATGTATTTGGATGTTGATGTATAGAAAACACTGATAACAAGTGACAGCATGGGGAGATAGTATTGTAGAGCTAGTTTAGAATAACCATGTACTGGTAAGATCAGTAGTGTTTTGTTGTTTTTCTTTCTGTTTTTGAATTTTATTGCTGATTTTATACATTTGCTTGAGAAGATCTTTCACATAGCAAATTTGGGAGAGGCTTTCACCAATCAAATTCATTCTGATCTATGCATCCTTGCCTGTTTGATTGCCTAGCCGGCAAGAGCAGCATCTATACAGAGCTGATTCTGGCTGCCCTGATCCCCATCTCCAACTGGATGGGGAACAAAGTTGGAGGTCCCCTCTCATCACACTATTCTGCCTCAGCTCTGACTCAGTTTTCATGTTCTGGCTTTCCTCACAATGGATACATAATGAAAGCTAGTTGTTTCTATAAATTACCCTGCTCTTTAATGATTGTTCATTTCACACATATCACTGTAGTGGGACAATTTATATGTGTTGGATCAGATCTTGTTGGATCAGATCTTGCTATTTTATTGAATTAAAAGATAGTTTATTTCCTTTTCTTCTATTTCTTAATAGAGATTATAAAGGTTAAACGCTATCAATAGCCTTGGTTACAACTGCTCAATTGTGGTTTCATGATTAAAACTATGCTAAAGAAATGTTTTAATTTCAAAGGAAAGCTAAACCATTGTGACAACTTACATATGTAATTATGCCTCAAACACTAAAATGTAAATGACTTATAATATTGGCTTGTCAGTTTCATTATTTTCTTTATAGAGAAAACACCAGTAACAAAAAACAGGGAGTACTTTTTCTTCTTAAGTAAGATATAGGAGAGTCCTATAGTATTGCCATTATTAATGTACTGTTTACACTTGTGCAAGAAATTATAATATTTATAAATTAGGCATTTACTAAAAATACGGCTACTCTACACATTGCAAATGACATTTTCCATGGTTGTATTTTAGTACTTTTTTCCCCCCTAATGTATATTTTCCTGGAATTTCTGTGGATTACCTTCTGTATTTTGAAATAGTTTGGTGTTATCCAATAATTATTAGTAAGTCTGAGAAAATAGATGGAATGAGGAGTGTGCATTGGCTGTCTTCAAAGTAACCAGTATTAGATGTTAAATATCCAAATGCCTAATACCTCCACATAAGTGGCATAAAAGTAAGTCAATAATGGTGAAGTTATTTATAAAGCAGTTTTAGGAGATTTCTTCCAGAGTCTCCTTGTCTCTCTACTTCTCTCCAACTCCCAATTACAGATAAGTATCACCAAGGGTGTAAACTTAAAAGCTTAATGCCAACTTTGAAGTTGTTTCCAATACCTACATAATGATGCAGCACAGTAGATCAGGAAACTCCTGTTTTATTTCCAGCCACAATCTCTTAGTCATGGCATTGACACAAGTTTAGAGCTCTTCCCTAGAGTGCCAAAACTTACTTGTTTTTAAATCTAAGATGAACATTTATAAGCCAACTTTCAGCCTTGAGGGCAATCTTGTTTTTAAACATTAATGAATTAGAATTCTTGAAGCAGCCCTATAATTAACTTGTGGAGTTTTTTAAAAAAGTGATTCAGAATAGGATTATATCATACATGATAATTTTATGCAGATACAGAAACATTTGGAACATCTCTCTTTAGGCACCTTTTGTTATGTAGAAATCGGAAAGGAAAAAGCAAATGAGGTAATAAGAAATAGAACCCAGTGTAAGACTGGTCTGAGGACCTTGGCTACTTGATGGTTTTTAGGCTCATAACTCTCTCTTCCTTCCTAAAAGTGTGTATTGAACACCAACTATGTGCCAGGCACTGTTCTAGGAATTTGGGACACACCCACAAATAAGGCAGAGAAAGTTCCTCTCTAATGGAGCACAGTCAATAAGTCAATAATAACCTGTCATATGCTAATAACTACAATGAATAATATATAATATCTGTCAGTTACCAATAATTACACTGATAAATTAAGTCAATGAGTAGAGATTGATTAAGTGCATGTATAAGTATTTGCTCAGGGACATCTTATTTCTGGAGTTGACATTTATCAGGGGTGTAAATGAAGTGAGCGAGTGGGAAGATATGGGAATGGATGGGAGTTTTCCAGTCAGAAGGAAGAGATGGGTATCAAGACCGGATGAAGTTAGACCAGTGAGGAGAACTGTGGATCTGAAACAGAGTGAGGTGGAGAGGTAGTCCTCAAGGCTTTATACGACTTCATGGACTTTGGTGAGTAGATTGCATTTTAAAATGTAAAAAAAAAAGAAAAGAAAAAAAAATGTAAAAAAATATCACTGGTTGGTGTGTGAAGAATAGACTAAATCAATGGTTGGCAAACTCATTAGTCAACAGAGCCAAATATCAACAGTACAATGATTGAAATCTCTTCTGAGAGCCAAATTTTTTAAACTTAAACTTCTTCTAACACCACTTCTTCAAAATAGACTTTCCCAGGCTGTGGTATTTTGTGGAAGAGCCACACTCAAGGGGCCAAATTGCTGCATGTGGCTCATGAGCCATGGTTTGCCAACCACTGGACTAAAACAAATCAAGAAAAGAAACAGAAGAGCCAGTTAAAGAATAGTTTCAGTTGTTGTGATGCTTAGTTTTGTGTGTCAACTGGACTGGGCCACGGGGTGTCCAGATATTTTGTCAAACATTACTCAGAGTGTGTCAGTGAGGATTAATACTTGAACTGGTGGATTGAGTAAAGCAGATTTCTCTCCCTCATGTGGGTGGGCCGTAACTTATTAGTAGAAGGCCTGGCTAGAACAAAAATGAGGACCCTCCTTGAGTAAGAAACTACTGTGCCTGAGGGGATGAGCTGGGATATTGGTTGTTTCTTGCCTTCAAATTTGACCCGAAGCACCAGCTCTCCTTGAGTTTTTTGAACTGAAACTTAGACCATTACATCAGCTCTCCTGGTTCTCAGGCTCTGGATGTGGACAAGAACTAGACCATCAGCTCTCCTGGGTGTCTAGCTTGCAGATGGCAGTCTGTGGGACTTCTCAGCCTCCATATCACCTCGACGTGGGGACATGTCTTATAATTACAGTGAGGGAATTTCGGGACTTTCTTGACATAGAAAGACTAAAAGTGAGTCAGCCTCATAAAGTAGGGAGTCCCTGAGGCTGAAAAGCTTAATCTGATGATCCAGATACATCACTTGTAAAAGCGATTCTCTGAAGGGGGGTGGGAGCAGCTGCATGAAGAAATGCGAATTCTCAGTGAGCTAGTTTTACTATGTTGTTTTTCTTCATTAGACATGCTTTATTGCCTCATAAACTATGCCTGTTAGTGTCATTATGACATGTTTCTTTAAGCAATTATTTATTTGTTTTTCTTTGGAACATAAAACATGAATAATTTGAGGTCAGAACTCTTTTCTCTTTTATTCCCATTCCTTTCTCTCCCCCCCCCCCCCCCCCTCTCCATCTCTGTCAGCCACCAATCTGTTCTGAGTCAGAATTTCTTAAGCATCGATTGCAGCATTTTTTTTTTTTTTAAAGAGTGGCTACGTTTTAGAATTCACTTTTGATATAAAGTTTAATTTGAATAATATTCAAGACTGTGCCATATTTCATGCTGCAATTTGACAAAGCCTGCTATTGCTTCTGTGTAGTTAATTATCACCTGAGTTGATTAAGCATTTCAATAGCCAGCATTTAACCAGAACCCTCAGCCCTCATTCCTTTGCTGCCCTATCTTGCCAATCTTAATTCTGTCTCTCTTGGTCTGGTTTTGCTCCTGGTCTGCCAAGCAGTGCTGGAGAAAAATCAAATCACCAAGCTTCTGGCATAATTATCATGGATAATCTCCTGGGTGTCACTTGGCAATTCCTTTTAAGCATTCCTGGCTGGTTCCTATTCCTGTTTTCGCATGTGACAAAAGCTTACTGCTCTGCTCAGGCTCACTGAGTCTTTGTAGAGCACATGTGTCAAACACAAGGCCCGAGGGCCAAATCCGTCCCACCAGGCCTTGCAATGTGGCCCGCACCGTGCTGTCATCACTGCACTCGGCTGCGTTTCCATCACAATGACAGTTTATGACTGTTCAGTAAACCATTCGGCCCGCGATTTAGGCTGGATTTTAGATTTTGGCCCCTTCTCTGATTGAGTTCGACACCCCTATTGTAGAGAAATAAGGACTGGAGGAAAACTTTCAAAAGCAAACAAACAAGCCAACCCCCCAAAAACGTAGTAGCTGCTTATTTTCCTCACAAATAACTATTGAAGTTAGATCTCTGAGTGTTGGCCTATGTAATATAGTTATAAAATGTAGGTGTTACTTCACAGCTTACATTTATTAGCTAAGCCATAAAATAGAGGATGAATTCTCCAAAAGAGTAAAAAAGCTAGTGTCAGCTGTTCAAAATGGTGACTACCATGCTTTTTAAATGGGAAACTGTATAATTAAAATGCAAATTTGGATGTATTGTTGTAGTTACTCTGCTGCTTGGATGATTGATTTCACACGAAGGAGAAGAACTGCTTTAAGTTATATTTGGAAATATTTTTCTTATATTGTTCTTAACCAGAAAACTTACATCTACGAAGACTCAAATCACTTGGAGGACCTTCTTAGAATTATGGGATCTAATTCAGCAGGTCTGGGCTGGAGCTGGATAGTCTGCGATGTTTTTTATGCGACCTTTCCCCCATTTTAATTATTCTGCTTATTTTCTGTTATAAGGAAAAGAAAACTTATTGCACGATGTCATGTATTTTCAAAGCTCAAAATAACTTTAGTTGCATCCTAATGACCTATTAATTGCAATAGCAGGACCTATTTTTTCAGCTCAAGCCAGCTTTTGCAATAATAATAATAATAATAATAATAATTATAATTATACTCCCTCCATCAATTGTTTCTCATCTATGAACCAATGTCAAGCCATCATAGATGTTCTCAATAATTTAACACAGATACAACAACTTCTGTGTGGATTCTTTGTTCATTGTTCAAACCATTCACACAGAATGGAATAAAATTTTATTCTTTTAAGTTCGACAGGTAAACAAGATGCTGAGAAAACCTTTGTCCTCTCTGACAGAGAAGCAGAGAGCACTGGCTCATGAATAGACAGCGTAATGAAAGTTAAAATAAAAATTTGGGGAAAGTCCCTCTTTTGGTCCACTCTCAAATAAAGCAAGAAAGATAAACAGCCCTAGCCGATTTGGCTCAGTGGATAGAGCATCAGCCTGCGGATTGAGGGGTCCTGGGTTCGATCCTGGTCAAAGGCACATGCCCGGATTGCAAGCTTGATTCCCAGTGGGGGCCATGCAGGAGGCAGCTGATCAGTGATTCTCTCTCATCATTGATGTTTCTATCTCTCCCTCCCTCTCTGAAATCAATAAAGATATATTTTTAAAAAGATAAACAATAGTTTCTTTTCCTGCTAGCCCGAAAAAGTGTTTCTATTTATTTGGCTTTGAAGTTTAGTGTACCTCCACATCTGTGTGCATACATGTGTGGTTACATGTATATAATCTATGCAGTATAGTAGCCCTCAATCTTTTCAACTAGTTTGTCTAATCATTAAGCCACTTAACCAATTAAGGTACTAATATAATATATCACATTGAACAAGTTACATAATTGCCTCTTGAAATAGTAAGAATGTTCACACATTTATTTGGCTTGTAAAGGAGTGAAATATTCCAATAATTCTAGTTTATTTTAAAGAATGTGGCTCTTAATAAATTGATTTTTCTGACGCCAAGAGAATAAGTCCCCTTAAAAACATTTCTGAAGTGGCTTGAAACAGGAAGAATGTCTTCTAATTTGGCCAAAAGTATGATGTGTATTTTATATCGTTTAAAATTTGAAGGCTAAGTCTATAAGGGAACACTTCGTTAATTGTTCCAACCAAACTCCCATGAAGTGTTTTTGAAGTATCTCCACTTAACCAACAGAGGGCACTTTACACACCTTACATTGCTTAGGGAGCAAAACACAGATGATGCTGAAACAGTTTTCATCCAATTATCAGGAAAGAGCCCTGAAGATTTCATTTTGAAATTCACAAAAATATAGAAAATATGGACTCTGGCCAGGTAGCTCAGGTGGTTAGTGTCTTCCTGATATGCCAAGGTTGTGGTTTCGATCTCTGATCAAGGCACATACAAGAAGCAACCAATGAATGCATAAATAAGTGCAACAATAAATTGGTCTCCCTCTCCCTCTCCCTCTCCCTCTCCCCCTCCCCCTCTCCCTCTCCCCCTCCCTCTCTCCCTCTCCCTCTCCCTCTCCCTCTCCCTCTCCCTCTCCCTCTCCCTCTCCCTCTCCCTCTCCCTCTCCCTCTCCCTCTCCCTCTCCCTCTCTCCCTCTCTCCCCCTCTCCCCCTCCCCCTCTCCCCTCTCCCCCTCTCCCCCTCTCCCCCTCTCCCCCTCTCCCCTCTCACCCTCTCCCTCTCCCTCTCCTTCTCCTTCTCTCTCTCAGATCAATTGTATAATTGGACTGTACCTCAGGGGTTCTTGTAGAATGTTATTAGTATGTGTGAAGTTAAATAGGAAGGAGTATACATTGTATTGATCTTCGACTCACTTCTTTCCCCCTTTCCTAGCTCAAGAATGGGATTAGGCTGAACCTTTCTACATGTAGAACAGAATCCATTTTCAAATCCTTTGATTGAGTTTTATCTTTTCTGTTGTGCCTGGGGCACCTGATCCAAGGATATCTCATCTCAGTTAAGAGTAGATTACAGTTAAACTATCAGAGATGCTCTGCCATGGAGCTGCCACTGAGCTGCATTGTTTTCATCCTCCCAGCAAGAACCTTGGAAAAATATCGTGCCCTATTTGGTTTTGGCACCGTCACTAGCCTGAGGCGTGCTGTGAAGGGAAAAACACCAGCCTTTCTTGGTTGAAATATAGTTGTTTACATCTGTTTTCATAAGAGGTATCTATAATAAGACATCTTTTTTGATGGGGGCTACAAGTACTAACCTTTCCTTCAAAGCTTTCATTTTTGCAAAAGCATTAATGCCCTAGATATACACCTTGTGTCTCTTCCATTTTTTTCTATTCTGTTGGCTCTAGTCAGAAAGATTAGAAAGGATTGTGTATGCTTGTGCTCCCAGTTCTTAAAGTAAACTTCTTTTATTCCTAGAGGAATATAACGCTTAGTACATACTTTTCCTACGGTGTAAATAGCCTTTGTTTTCTGGCTCCCTCCCTCTCTCTGCCTCTGTCTCACTTTTGTTCTCACTTGCCCTAAAGTTGACAGGTGAAGAGGGAACGAGGTCTTCTGACAGCAGTCCTTTGAGATAGAGGTGCCCTCAGTGAGTCCTCACCCCAAAAAAGGTCATAGACTTACTGGGTTACATCAGCCCAATTATCCCTAAGCCGCCTGGGGTTTTGTGTTTGCTCATATGTTTTGTTTTGTTTTGTTGCAGCTGCACCCTGTGTGTGATTCCTTGGGCCATTTTCTTCTCTCTATTATTTTTCTTGCTGACCCTGAACTATGGCTTCCTCCTCAGTTCCCACACTATTCATTCTCCATGGCTTTCCTCAGAGAAAACTGAGCCCGCATGAGCCTCAGAGAACTGGCCACGGAGCACAAGGTAGCTGAGCCACATGCGTGAGGACCAGAGGACGTTCTGAAAGGGAGAGAGACTCTGGTCGTGCTGCACCCGGTAGAAGACCAGACAGCTAAGGACTCAGCCTGTTAGCATCTGGGTGATCTGGAACAAGGTGATGAACATGGCAAACTTCTGGGGGACTTGGAAACCCTTCGCTCACAAGGCCTAGTGAGAGACTATCACAGCTCCATGAAACGGCCACCCTGGCAACTGCGTCCTTGCAGGCGTCTAGGCAAAGAGGGCACAGTGATGTGGTGGCACCAGTGCAGGAAGATCAGCTCCTGCTTCCTCAGAATGATGACTATTGTGTCTCCTAATTTGGGAGCTTTGCTTAGCACAAATGCACAAGCCCAGAGTTAGCCATCGGGTCCATTGTAAAAAGTCTGGTCTGACTGCTTCAGGCCTTTGGTCATCAAAACGTACACTGTGTAAACAGCAGTCAAGAACACTAAATGTGCCCGAGACTGCAAGGGTCAGAGACCAGAGCACTAATGGCTTCTTCAGTTCAACAAGGCTCCTTTATTCATTAGTTGCCAACTACCCATGATAAAGGCAGCATCCAGAACAGAAAACAGGAAAGATTTCTTCCAGTGTTCCTGTATCCATGGGATGGCTTCGTTCTCATTGAACTGCTTTTCAGATTCAGATTCTTGTACAGTCAGCACTGATTCATCAGGGCTTACTGGGGCTGATCTTCATAGTCATTTTCTATGCTCCACTTCCAGGGCTCTCCTCCTCCCAGCTTCCGCCTCCACCCAGGGAGGAAATGGATCTGGAGAGCCTGCATGTCTAACAGCTCTCTCCTGATGCCAGTACTCATGGTGCGTGAACCACATGTTGTGTAGCAAGAGGCTAAAGCAGCTGTTCTGACTCTGTATGCTTCCTTTGGTGATTCTGGTATGGCTGACCAGACCATTATTCAAAAGCATGAACTTGGTGACAACCGCTTACTTGCTTGCAAATACTTGCTAACTTTTTGTCACTTTCCATCCCAGGGGAAGATGAGGTAGGAGCTTTGGTGTCCTAGCTAGACTAATAAAAGAGAAAGATGCAAATTGACCGTACCTTCACGATACCCACCAGCCAATCAGGAGTGAGTATGCAAATTAACCCATAAAATATGGAAGGTTAATTTGCATACACAGGCGCTGAGTGGCCAAGGATGGGACGCAGGCATTCTGCACTGCCCCAGCTGCTCCTGGCCTCTGGGCAGCATAGGAAGGTGGAAAGGTGGCTCCGGGCAGAGCAAAAGCAGAAAGGTGGCTCTGGGCTGGAGCAAAGGCAGTGCTGGCAGCCAGGGAAAGGAAGGCCTATTCTTGCACGAATATTCCTGCATCAGGCCTCTAGTCATAAATAGAAAAGGAATTGAGGCCTGCAAGTCTCTTGACGTCAGGATAAATTGATCCAGATTCAGAGGAACTGGGTATAATGCACTTTCTTTTTTAATTGAAAACATCTGACTTTAAGTAGGCATAGAACATAGAACCTCACTGGGCATAACAAGCCAAAGTGCGTGCAGGAAGAATGTGGGATTTGTTGACGGGGAGCACCTTCTGGCCATGCTCTGGCGACTTTGGTTTAAGGTATTGCCTGCATGGACATCAGGTCACAGCCCTGAGCACAGCTTTGCTGTTTTCAAAATTGGTTAGGATTTGATCATAATGAAGCTATTTTTTATTTATGATAGCTCTTGACCTGTACATTCAGGAAACCTTTGCATAAGTGGGTCTAATTGGTTTGATCTCACAAGTAAAGAGTTCCTTGTTTTTTCTAAAAAATATATTTTTATTGATTTTTTACAGAGAGGAAGAGAGAGGGATAGAGTTAGAAACATCGATGAGAGAGAATCATCGATCAGCTGCCTCCTGCACACCGTCTACTGGGGATGTGCCTGCAACCAAGGTATATGCCCTTGACCAGAATTGAACCTGGGACCCTTCAATCTGCAGGCCGACGCTCTATCCACTAAGTCAAACCAGTTTTGGCAAGAGATCCTTGTTTTTTGGAAGTCATCACACTGGAAATTTTATCAGTAAATACACTTTTTTTTAAAGGTCCTTCTAGAAAAAAATGAAAGTAACCTTGGGTTGGGTAAGAGCCTCAGGTGGTGTAGTATACACTTTAATGAGGACTTAGTCTTTTGTGTAACAAAATGATTTAATGTGGAAGAGAAAAATGTAGACTGTAATGCTATTTATGTAAATTAGATTACATACATAAATTGACACTTTAAAGGACATTTATATTTTAAGCACATTAGAGAAGGCACCTTTTAAAAAAATGTATGGAAGTGAAACTTATATAACAGAAATTTAGCCATTTTAAGTTGAATAATTCAGTGGCATTTAGAATATTC